AGCAATCACTAATTGGAATCCCAGGTTCCTTGGCCCCGTTTCACAAAGCAGTTGTAGCTGAACTACAAGTCATGTACTCAAACAAAGACTTACGACAGCATAGGATTGCTTTGTGAAACAGGGTCCTGGATCAAAATTAGTACAAGGACTTTTAATAAGGACAATAAAAAAAATAACCTTACAAAATGACATAACTGCATATTCTAAATCATGGACTATTTACACTGCAATGACTTTTACTTCAGGATTGATCTCCAGAAGTCAACCAGAGCTTGATTACCGACATCAAGGATGTGATGCCAGACAATGAGGAAATCGAACCCAGTGGGCTAGAAGTGACCTTACCCTTAGAGGCTGCAAGCCGACAGCACTTAAAGAGTTACCTCCCCTGCGAGTGAGACTGGAACACTACAGTGGGGTACAGCTCCAAGGTGGTTATATACATGACGTATACACACACCAGATAACAATAACATTAGGTCCATCTATGTACACAGTGCTACAATGAGATACAATGAAACAAGTGATTGTCCTTCAGACTGCAGCCAGCTGCCCGCTACTTCTTGTTGTCAAGCTCTTCGATAAGTTAGAAATGACACCCGTAAATGGTTTCAACATTTTATGTCGTAACAAGTTCCTCAAATCCTTAACAACAACTAGGTTGCATAACTAACATGTTTTGTTGATCCTGAACAATTGGCGAGAGTGGTTAGACAGGGAGCTTGTTGAACAAGGCTGATGCACGCATCTATTGGGACTGTCGTGCCTCAGGACTTATACAATAGGTAGCATTGACTCCATAGCTACTCGAGTCTCGGAGAAAATGACAGGCAGGCACAGGTTAAGTTTTGTATGTCAATGGCATCAAGCATAGTGCCAGACATGCATAAATGAACCAGCCAGAGAAAATGAAAGTGATTTAGTGACATCAACTCGGCAAGACCTACAGGACTTAGTTGTGGAAGAAACTGCCCAGTAAGACTAAACAGTCTTGGAGGTGCATAAAGGGGCACCTGTCTGTCAGTAGCAGTGTCTGCTGAAGAATGTCACCTTACACAACAGGAAATTAGCCATGGAACCATGCCACTATACATAGCTCTTGTCCACATCAGCAGATGGAGAATATATGCAGCAGCAGCAGGCATACCAGCATTAAGCAGTGAAAAGTCCTCAAAGGGAGACAACTTAGTCAGTACTTATAAGGAGCAAGAATGAGTCAAGCTTGTATTTGACTTATATTTGCCAGAACAGTGTATATGAAGTATATAACATGCCCTTCCCTAGTAACTAATCCAACTGCATAGGAAAGGCTTAGATGTGTCTCAGGATTAAGAAGCTGGTGTAATTTAACTTAATTCAATTTGCTTAAACACTGATAGAGTTGTGTTTTCCTGAGACACAAGAAAGGTCAAGGTCAATTGGCTGATATCATTTCAATGAAGTCACCTGCTGCCTCTAATACAACACAAAAACCCAGATAGTTGAGATACAGGACCCATACACGAAAGAGGGTCTGGATCAGCTGTGCCTGTCCCTCAAGGGGAGACAACCGGTAGGAAATGGACTTGTGATATCCTTGCCAAAATAACCATTCCTTGTCTCCAAGAGCAATATATTTCATAGACAATTCAAGAAAAATAGTTGAACAGGTTAAAGAAGGGTGTAGTTCACGAGCATCCTCAACTAGCTCTGTGGGCAACTGGCAGGAATACAAAGTGAATAAGATGACACACCAACAAGACAGCAATAGCACTATTTCCCCCTTCACTGCTGTGAGGTAAAGAATTAATCAGCTCTTTGATTAAAAAACACCTCAATCAATCCAAAGTGACCACACAAAGTACTGGCTTGCAAGCTGAATTAAGGTTTGTTTGTCTGATGTTTAACGCCGCACTGAGCAATTTTTCAGCTTTATGAAAGCAGTCTGTTAACAATTGAGTCTAGACCAGACAATCCAGTGATTGACATCATGAGCATCAATCCACACAATTGGGATACGATGACGTGCATCAACCAAGTCAGCAGGCCTGACCACCTGACCCCATCAGTCGCCCCTTATGACAATCATGTGTTGCTAAAAACCGATTCTAACCAGGAGATGAATTAAGGTAAAGAAGACATATTTGAATAAGTTTTGATAAACAGTCAACCCATGTCACTGACCTTCAAGTTAGTGGTGTGTCGTGTTTCGTGTGTACTGGCGTCTCATCAGCATATTTCCCTAGGCCCATGCAATATACTACTCAAAAGAAGTTAAGGAACACCTGCCTTTTTCACATGACTATAGTTAATCAGTCATGATCTAGCCAGTCTGAATACAATCAACATACATTACAGTGAGTGAGTTGGGTTTAACGCTGCTTTTAACAGTATTCCAGTTATATCGCAGCATTCATATATTACAGACCTTTACTTCTATTTGGCACACTAGTTTCCAAGAACACATTCACAATTTGAGCAAAGTATTTAATAAGTGGAAGAACAAGAAAAAAGATCATAAGATAACAACAGATCAGAACGCATCTTTTGTGAATAGTCATATAACCACGAGTACTGATGTGTTTAGCAGAGGAAGGTGTCAATGTAGTGAGTTCTACAGGCACTAGCAGTGGTGTGTTTAGTGGAAACAGATGTTGTCTTTGTCCGGAGTGACTATGTGACTGTGAGTGAGTGAGTGCGTTTGGTTTTACGCCGCAATATCACGGCTGGGGACACCAGAAATGGGCTTCACACATTGTACCCATGTCGGGAATCGAACCCGGGTCGTCGGCGTGACGAGCGAACGCTTTAACTACTAGGCTACCCGACCGCCCCCACTATGTGACTGTATCCACTGTAAGATTTCTAACGAAGTTACATCAGGAAGCAGACCAGCCACGTGCACTGTTAATGACGATGTCCTGCATCATTAGGCTGATGAGGTCACCGTTCACACCTGTCAGAAATCAGCAGTGAAAACTAAGCCTACAGCAGTGAAGTGGGAATAGTTCTACAAACAGTAATATTGAAAAAATAAATTTGTTTCTCAATTTTGGCAACAATCTGCACTGACAAGCGCTAAAATGGCACACTGTTCTCTCTTCATTCATCGACTGGCCAATTTCTTTCTTGGAGCAAATACTTTGATCATATACAGAAGAATACATGCATAGCAGGCTGCACATGCTTTCTTTGGATCCAATCTTTCAGAAGCTGCCATTATATGGCAGGTGTACTGACGAGAATGGCGTTAGGCAAAAAAGCCAACTTAGTTTCAGGTGAATATGGCAGGTGCTTCCCGTAAAGCAGGACATGCTTGCCCTTTTTTGAACACCTGGTGTCATCACTGATTTTTAGTGATTCATTCATATAATTTTCATCATAATTTTGCATTTTACACCCTATTCACGATTCTTTCAACTGATTAGTCTCTGATGTTGACGTCTTGAATTCTTTGGGATCAGGACTTGACATAATGAAATAAAGCTAAGTTTAAGCAGTCAGCCACAATTCGTAAGCGAATTATTACCTTGATCGAAGATTCTAATTAAGTTTACACAAAAAATAAATAGTTTCATATAGCACCTGACACAATGTGTACTAAGCATGGAACCATTTCAGGTCAATGCTCCGAAAAAAGATATTTGCCAATCATTTGTCCACTAAACAATCCTTTTACCATGACCTCCATTGCACAATGCTTAAGCAATTTCATCCAAAAATATTTACAGCAATAAGCACAGCCTCTGACACACACACCTGGCAGCAATAAGCAGCGCACTCATGAAACATCTCAATTGGCAAAAATAGGTTGTTTTCCCACAAACAGTGAGTGTGTGAGCGAGTTGGATTTTACGCTGCTTTGAACAGTATTTCAGTTATATCACAGCGTGTCAGCTTAATGCGGGAGGAAAGGCAAAAGTGATGCATGTCTGAGACGTTTACCACTTTGGCGAAACCCACGAGCACAGGTATGGTGCTGACAAACCTAGAAACATAATGAGGGTAAACCAGGATTCAAACTGACGATCATAGGTTCCTGGCGTCACCAAGGGACACAACTCAGCTGAGCGAATTCAGCGACTCAGACAACCGGCCCACCCGTGCCGTCACTCACAAAGAGGTTGTGTATCCCCATGCAAGAAAAACAAAATGGCTCTCTGTGGAAACGAAGTAAGAATCTCAAGAGCAGGAGCATAATACAATGTCCTTATAAGAAGCACTAATGATCTACAAAAGTGGTCACAGAAATGTTCATTGTATGGCACATAGTTGATCTGTAAAGACATTCTATACACAACAATAAAACAAGTTTCAGAAAATTCCTGACATTAAAGTTTTGACAATTGTCTGTCCAATGTCCCCACCGAACTAATTGGCCTGATCTCATGCATGGTGACGTCTGCTGGGATTCCTTGGGGATGTTATCTGGGATGGAACAGGACATCAATCACTCAAACCTTAAATTAGTTTTGAATTAACTTTTAATATAGATCATAAGAGTTTCTGGTTTGCCTGAAGCTCAAGATGGGGACTCTACTGGAATTTCAGCGGACATGTTGGCGGTAAGGTAAGAATCAATACATTACTTTCGTACGATTGTGATCGATACTTGTATCGAGAAGTACAAAATCGTGATCAACCGATGCATTGGTGTATCGTCCCAATACTATTTGTGACAGCCTCATGCCTACAAGCATGGATTGTGGGCAGGGAAACAGGTGCCCCGAACCAGAACATAGCTGAATCCACATCACTTGTTCCATCCCTACTCTATGGCGCCATTTGACACCGAAACGGGAAGGATTTCCACAAGTAGAATGTCAAACAGTCAGCTACATTTCCCTCCTCTTTGCTACCCGTGAAGATTCTAGGGTAGAATAGGTCTTCAGCAACCCATGCTTGCCGTAAAAGGCGACTATGCTTGTCGTAAAAGGCGACTAACAGGATCGGGTGGTCAGGCACGCTGACTTGGTTGATGTATGTCATCGATCCCAATTGCGTGGATCGATGCTCGTGATGTTAATCACTGGATTGTCTGGTCCAGACTCGATTATTTACAGACCCCCAGTCATATAGCTGGAATATTGCTGAGTGCGGCGTTAAACAACAAACAAACCAACCAACCAACCCTCCTCTTTGCCATCCCTTTTGTTCTTTAATTTTGAAAATCATATTTATTTGTTGCCAATGCATCTGGAGGGGGCCTACTAGGTGTTGATAACTCCCATTTAATCCATTCCATTATTAAATAAAATATGTTTAAACTAACTTAACAGAAGAAAACCCTTTGATGAACATTAGTGGATGATTTTATTGGATATCCTAAAGTTCTTGTTTGTTTCTTGTTTAACGTCGCACTGAGCAATATTCCAACTATACGACAGGGGTCTGAAAATAATTGAGTCTGGACCAGACAATCCAGTGATTGACATCATGAGCATTGATCCAAGCAACTGGGATACAATGACATAGTCACCTTTTACGGCAAACATGGGTTGCTGAAGACCAATTATATCCGGGGTACTAAAGTTCTTGATTCTACCTGGTAATTCTATAGATCTATACACTGACTGTAAAAAGTGTCACTGGCTATGCATTGTACTTTATTGTAATGTTTACAGAGCCACATAGTGCAGTAGGGAAAGAGCACTTCAGAATAAAGTGCTTTCATGTACCTTCCAAGGAGTTTCAAGAGGCGGTAGGGTAGCCCAGTGGTTAAAGCTTTTGCTTTCTAGTGAGGTTCAGGACCATATTTAGAATACCATCACTACAGAGACACTTGTACCTTGAAACAATATTGTTCTGTGTCAGTTTGCTTTTTGGTGTGGTTCATTTGACATGGCAGTTTGTTTGGTCTTCAATTGAAATTTAAGCAGAAAAGGAAGGCCACTAATTGAATGAACTTAGCATCAATGTTATGGATATCTCATATTAAAGGATTACCTGGAACAATATGTCATTTACCACATAGTACCCAGATCCTAAACTCTACACTCAGCAATATTCCAGCCATATGACGGTGGCATGTAAATATTCGAGTCTAGACCGGGCAATACAGTGATTGACTTTGTGAGCATTGATCCATTTGTTCGCCTCTTACGGCCACCACAGGTTCTGCCCCGAAACCCCAATTATGGAAGGAGGTTCTCAACTTTATATGGGTCTCATTCTGAAATCCTAAATATATGGTTCAAACATATATTTCTTACGACTGAAAATTAGGATCAGTAAACAAGACAACGCTTATTTTAATACCTGTCCATAAATATATCAACTGGAATCTAGAGGATGTAACCTAAAGTGGCCCAGAGAGAAGAGCCACTAAAAACATGGGAAATAACCACGCATCACATTGCCCAAGGAGCATAGCTACTGCAATCAAGTGGCTATAACCACAGAGTAGAACTACAGGAGTCAAGTGGAGATAATCAGTGTCAAATGGCCCATAGAGTAAAACTATGGGAGTCAGGGGAGATAATCAGTGTCAAATGGCCCAAAGATTAGAACTATGGGAGTCAGGGGGAGATAATCAATGTCAAATGGCCCATAGAGTAGAACTATGGGAGTCAAGGGGAGATAATCAGTGTCAAATGGCCCAAAGATTAGAACTACGAGAGTCAAGGGGAGATAATCAGTGTCAAATGGCCCAAAGATTGGAACTATGGGAGTCAGGGGAAGATAATCAGTGTCAAATGGCCCAAAGACTAGAACTACTGGAATCAAGGGGAGGTAACCATGAGTGAACAAGGCCAATAGCAGCACCAGGACATGAGCCGGCAATAGCAAGCGGGGTACACTAGCAGAGAAATACACCAATCATGTGGAGAAAAAGACTGGCTAGGACTGTACATGTCACAAAAATAGAGACTCTTTCACACATCAGCATAGTACATGAAGAACATGGGTCCACAAAGTCTGACGGACCTGACATTGGCACAACACAGAAGACAAAACTAAACTCAAGGATCCAGTTGCCATGACAATAACAAAAACAATATTCTGAAAAGGAGGTTTCAATGTGCATGCATTTATAGCAGTGAAATAAGGCTGAGTTATCTCCCCTTGGGCAGAGTATTCCCCCAAATTGGACATTATGCAAACTAGGCAAGAAGTTATCGCAGACTTAAATTATGTAATTATGTGTACATTTTCATTTGATGAGAAAACCATTGTTGGTGAGAACTGATATTTCATTTCACTCAATGACTTTTCAAATTGCATAAATGTTCATTTAACACAAATAACTCCTGCTTTGATGCAAGAGAATCTATCAATGACGTTTATTGTTCTCTAGACTTCATCCAGAATTTGTCAGCCATACTGAAACGTACGTAGATGGACTACATCAGTTCATGTTTCATCCCTCACGGATTGGGCCAAAATATGGGGGAAAATCTAACCAAGGGAGACAACTCAGGTATGAGGTAACTGTGTTGGGTTGAGGTATGTTGAAATAATAAATAGTCCCCTAGTGGGGTCATGTCAAAACAAACTTTACATCAGTTTATCCACAAGTCAAACACAATACACTGCTGTATGTTTTCAACACAACCAACAGATGGAATATACAAATAACTAGCATCCTATAGCACTCATGCCCAGTTCAGTAACTGTGAATTACAGTGCCTTCAGGCATGGATCTATTATCTTAACAATGGCTGGGTGTGACCGTAGTCTTGTCAAGAGTTACAGATAAGTAGATCCAACATTTTACCCGAAACTGTATCTAAATACTATCTTTTGACTGGTGTTATTTAAATGCTGCTTTTAAGCATAGTTAATGGTTTCTTTCAAATTATAAGGAAACACTTTTGTAAAGAAAATATAAATTAGCTTTAAAATCAACCAAATTCCACCATCAATCCACCTGTTTCCTAGGTGATTCCTTTCCACTCAAAGAAAATCTTCAACAAGGCATAAATCAGGTCTGGCCAGAACAATAATTTAATCAGAAATCACCCTGAACTGTCTCATTAAAGAAAAACAAACATACAGCTTTAATAGAGCCATGATGCGTTCTAATGAAGGATATCATAAAGAGTTTCAGCCATCACTTAGCCACCACAACCAATCAAATTGAAAAGAAATATTTAAATTAAAGTTTTGACATGACCCCCATCTAAAATCAATATGGCAGGATTTATCAATTAAAAACAAAATAGAATTCTAACAAATCACTTAATGAAAATAATAAGACCTAAGAGGACAATACCTAACATATATATATATAGACATCTATATATATTATTTTGACATGCATACCAGTTCCTATGAGGAAATCAGGGGTGCTAACTTCAGTGTCGGATTTCGCGGGCCCTACCAAATCAGAGTATTCACAAGTAAATAGCAAACTTGCCTAACAAATCACTTCGAACCAGCTGAACGTTGTCCTACGTGTCTGCAAACAAACCTGCACTAGTTCAACAAGAGTTGGAAGTTGACAATTTCACAATAATTTCAATAGAAAAAAATGAGATGACAGAGATAATATATTTCAACTCACAGCTGAACATCGATGGTTTCATTAAAAGAGTACCATTACTTTTTAAATTCCAAATTAATTATTTATTTGTTTGAACTTAAACCTCTTGTTATGAACAAATAGCAAAGGATTTATTTGGGCATCAAATGTATGAAAAGATTCCTAATATGGAATTGCCTATTTCCCACTCAAGGTTTGCAAAATGTTTCAGCTTTGCAAGTTCTAATTTCACTGATTTTATGACGTATAACGATAAAAAGGATTTAATGTTTATACTAGACAAAACCCTAGAAGTGACACAATCCCTTTACTCATTGCTCAATAATCTAAAACAGTGTTTCTCCCCGGGCTTGAATTAGCAGCGGATACAAATTAGAGATGTAGGGAGCCACTTTGGGGTAGATCAAACCACCTTCTCAAATGGTCAAAAGACACAAACTGTCATATAAACAGACAGTGAAACAGTGGCCACAGCTAGTCAATGTGGAGAAGGAAGGCTTTGCGAGCTCAACATCGATGGATGACCTGCGGGGTGGGTAGGGGAGGGGGGAGGGGATATGTGTCAGAGGTATCTGCCCACCTGTGGCAAGAGCTGAAAGCTGGACATCGACATGACACACGGGGTGAGGGGGGAGGGGATATGTGTCAGAGGTATCTGCCCACCTGTGGTTAGAGCTGAAAGCTGGACATCGACATGACACACGGGGTGAGGGGGGAGGGGATATGTGTCAGAGGTATCTGCCCACCTGTGGTTAGAGCTGAAAGCTGGACATCAACATGACACACAGGGTGAGGGGGGAGGGGATATGTGTCAGAGGTATCTGCCAGTCTGTGGCTAGAGCTGAAAGCTGGACATCGACATGACACACGGGGTGAGGGGGGAGGGGATATGTGTCAGAGGTATCTGCCCACCTGTGGCAAGAGCTGAAAGCTGGACATCGACATGACACACGGGGTGAGGGGTGAGGGGATATGTGTCAGAGGTATCTGCCTGTCTGTGGTTAGAGCTGAAAGCTGGACATCGACATGACACACGGGGTGAGGGGGGAGGGGATATGTGTCAGAGGTACCTGCCCACCTGTGGCTAGAGCTGAAAGCTGGACATCGACATGACACACGGGATGAGGGGGGAGGGGATACGTGTCAGAGGTACCTGCCCACCTGTGGCAAGAGCTGAAAGCTGGACATCGACATGACACACGGGGTGAGGGGGGGGGGGGGGATATGCGTCAGAGGTATCTGCCCACCTGTGGTTAGAGCTGAAAGCTGGACATCAACATGACACACGGGGTGAGGGGGGAGGGGATATGTGTCAGAGGTATCTGCCTGTCTGTGGCTAGAGCTGAAAGCAGGACATCGACATGACACACGGGGTGAGGGGTGAGGGGATATGTGTCAGAGGTATCTGCCCGTCTGTGGTTAGAGCTGAAAGCTGGACATCGACATGACACACGGGGTGAGGGGTGAGGGGATATGTGTCAGAGGTATCTGCCCGTCTGTGGCTAGAGCTGAAAGCTGGACATCGACATGACACACGGGGTGAGGGGGGAGGGGATATGTGTCAGAGGTATCTGCCCGTCTGTGGTTAGAGCTGAGAGGTGGGCGTCGACAGATGACCGACACGGTCGGAGGGGTTAGGAGGGGGAAAGGGGATATGTAGAGGTACCTGCCCCTGTGGCTAGCCGACGATCAATATCCTCTGATATGAACTCCAGGATGAGGTAAGAACAAAAACTCGTAGATGATTCATAATATCATAATAAAAGTTGTGTGATTGATCCTGACTTACCAGCATGCCATACTGCGGTTACTAGTTGGTTACTAACTCATAAAAATATACAATAAGTCTAACAAAGTTAACAGAAATTTCATGTGCATAACTCAATTAGGTTGCAAGTTCAGTATGCAAGGATAGCTGCATTTGGTTGTCAGGTAAGTAGGTATTTCCACTCGTTCCTCATAATACTCTGTAAGGCAGGGCCTGAGTCATGTGCCTCTCATGTGATCAAGTCATGTGATCAAGTCATGTGATCATCATGTAATCAGCACAAAATGGCTTCCACTTGAGCCGTTGGTAGACTTATTGTCCCTACAGCTGCCTGAGATAATCAACAAATATAATGCTTAGTGTAGTTCCTTATGAGAGGTAACTGGAGCATGTGATCAGGCTCCTCCCAGTCCAGGCAACCTGCCGCTACACTTTGTAGAGGTCTGCAAGCCATTCCTTTAGCAGAGTTGCTTCCCTTTCTTTGCCGTGGAGATCAAACTACAGTTACACAAGTACTGAAATATCACAAACATTTGACCCCATGATCCTCCTGCTGCTAGTCTGGGTGTAGCTGAGTTCTGCTCAGTTCAGCTAGGGAGGCAGTAGTCTTTGTACAGCTAGCAATCCAGACATATCGACAATGCTAAGAACAATTCTGCTGCCCTTGTCTTGCAGTGCGTCACACATATACATCACCGGGTCCACATTAAGCTCATCTGCTGCCACAATCACAATAACTCACAAAATAATTCCCATTCACAGAGCAGACGTTGCCACGGTTACCTGATCACACAAACTTCATCCCTGACCTGAATTCACCACCATACTGGCCATGAAGGTAGAGCCAGCACATCGCCGGCACACAAATCATTTGGCCTACTGTAGTTTACAGAGCAGTGTCAAGTCTCATGTCGTCAGACAGATGCACACAAAGTCAAGTGTTTGTAATTTGAAATCCCTGAAATAATGATGCGCACCTTAGTCCAACTACAAAAATGCTTCCATATAATATTAATAATAATAATAATAATATAATAATAATAATAATCATAACACCCCAGGGGGGACAGTCAGTTGAGAGCCAACACGAAGCAGTTGTTTGCTTGTGCCGGCTGCAAGGGCTCGCCACAGCTTAGTTAAACCGTTGTTGAGAGTCTGGTTGGCGGCACTATATCAGCATGTTGGCAAGACATAATAAACCCACAGTTGGTGGGCGTGACCTTGGGCTACCCGTTTCTCCGAACATTTATAGTTGCATTGGTACAGTCCACAATCTGTTGCCTTGCTCCCAGGGCTACGCTGAAATAGGTGACGAGGAATTTGGAGTGGATTCCCCGCTGGTTTCAGCTGAGCCTTGAGAGCTAACACCTTGCTTGGCAGGCCCTAGGGACAGAAGAGGAACAAGATGACAGCACCAATTCATCACACACCAGTCCCCACTGCATTCTTGGATTCCGCGGAACATTTTGCAGAAATGTCCACTCAGTGCAGAAATGTATCTATCTTGCAGAAAATCACTTTTTGTACAGAAATTTGTCAGAAAATTGGCTACCACAAGTCAAACAGGTGCAAAGTTAGGAAATTCATGAAAAAGAAGCCCAAACGTTTGCAGAATTATAAAAGAAAATAGTTGCAGAATTTACAAAAATTCAACACTCTGCAGAATTTAGATTTGTTTGCCACAGAATACAGCAGAGACTGACACACACATGAACTCAACACAAACACTTGGTTATAAAACAAGTAGAGAGACCAACTTGATTTTTCCCCACTATAGTCTTATTTTGGCACTACAGTCATATCGCAGTCATTAGTCCAATAGACTAAGTTGTATCATATCGATACCATAGTTCAATGACACTATAGCTTAATATGAACGCTATCACTAATATGTGATATAATTAATATGATCACTACAGCCCAATATCCCCACTACTGTTCAATATCGGCACTACCATCTGGTCACAACAAAGGTCTTATCTGCATTTTCATCCAATATCAGGGCAATAAACTCATATCAGCACTATGGTCTTACCTGCACTATAATCCAATATCGGGGCAATAGTAATAAATAGGCACTATTATCTAGTATCGGCACAATAGTCTAATATCGGTGCTCTGCTTGTCTCAGTAAGTGGGAATACTTGTGTTGGTGCCCAGGCAGTGATTGAAATACAGAAAATGCCAGGCTGCCATCACGACCCACAGACTTTAGAAGCTGCAGGCCTTGACTAAACTCTGCAGGCACCCATTATAATAATTACTGGGACATAAATTTACTGCATGCCATCAGGACCCATACGAATTTGAAAACAGTCATGGAAACTAACCGTTTTAGTCCACAAGTCCTTATGATGAATTTCTACTAGCCCTAACTATTGGGCAGTTTGGCAAGGACTTCAGGAATTGTACCAATTTCTTTCTAACACCGGAAAGTACGGCCCCAACACGAGATCTACCTGCCACACGTTTACGAGCAGGAGCTTATTTCGAACACTGTGCCCAGTTTACCCAGAATGCCTTTCCTACCTGTATGTGTGTGTATGAACCACAGGGCACCTGTTAACAGGATACCAATAGCAAATGCTGCAAAGGCAATGCCCACAACAGTGGCAGAGTCCAGGCCTTCTATTATGATGCTCTGCTGGGGCTGTGTGCTGCCTTCTATTTTATCAGCGTTTGAAGATTTCCCTGAATTATTGGATGTGTTTTCTTCTTCTTTCTTCGGGTCTGATGTACCACCTGCAGAAAGAAATCAATTAACGTGAGTGAGTGAGTTGAGTTTAACGCCTCTTTTTCAACAGTATTCCAATGGCGTGTCAGCTTAATGTGGGAGAAAAGCCTCAAGTAATGCAGGTCTCAGACATTTACCACTTCGGTGAAACCCACGTGCATGGGTATGGTGCTGACAAACCAAGAAACATAATTGGGGCGAACCAGGATTCGAACCCACAACCCAAAGGTTTCTGGCGTGCAGGAGGGACGCAACTCTGCACAGCGAATCGCGGCACCTTAGACAACTGGGCCAACCGTGCCCCCTAATTAACATGAACTGGAACTTACAACTGACCAATCAGTGATATAGGTTTGCTAGAGTGAGCGAGTGTGACGGGTTTAAGCTGTATTGAACAGAATTCAAGTTATATCGCGGCATGAAATTGTCATGTGACTCAATACTTGTACTGACTGATGTTGACTGATAGCACAACAAAAACACATGTCACAGTCTGGAAGCCGCTCCCTATTGTATATCCTTTGTTATGATATCTGGTCCTGCAATAACCTTTTCCGGTGCACAGACCAGTTTCCAGATCCCTGATTCTGTCTATAAAACAGACAAGAGGGAGGAAATGTGACTTGATCCATGATGTCTGACAGTCAAAATGCTTATAACAAACTCTGGTTATAACAAACTAAATTAGTGGTCCCTTTGAGTTCATTATAACCGTAGTGTACTGTGCATTTAATATAATCTCTGGTTTCACATTCATATATCTTCTTATCATGGGGGGACTCTGGGTAGAGGATATAGGTCATTATACTCAGCTGAGTGAATGTTGTTTTATGCTTCAGTAATACATTATAATATTTATCATCCAAAACTGCCTCCCATAGGAGATATCGCTTGGGTGAGATCAAGCAATATCTACATTGTTGATACCAACGCAATGAAATTTCATCACAATGCTTTGCAGACCATTGTGATGTCATTGGTTACCATGACATCACAATCAAATGACATCACTAATGATCTGCCACTGAAGCTGTTAGCAGTAATTTTACACTTAAGACACTGCTTATTATTGTCTACAAATCTATCAAAAGACACTCGGGTGAGATTCTTTATATAGCATCAATGTCACAGCAGACAGTAAATATGATAACATACAGCAGCAGTATCACGGCAGGCAGTAAATATGATAACATATAGCAGCGATATCACGGCAGACAGTAAATATGATAACATATAGCAGCGATATCACGGCAGCTGGTAAGTATTATCTGTACAGCTAACCAATATAGTGGAGTGTGTCTTACCACCAGGTAATTGTAAGTCTTTGCCAGTTACTTCCCAAGGTCCTGCAACGAGTAACTTGTCGCCAATAATGGACTTAGTTGAGAATTGACCGACGATGTTGGAGGTCTGCTCACAATTTCTCTCCGAGTCTCTTACACACTGAAACAGAATGAGGAACGTGTGAGCGTTGTATGAATATCATGGGAGACTCCGCTATGAAGGCACGTGTAACATAGACTTGATCACTCAGACACAACATCAGGAGAGTGAGGAATGTCAGTCACGGTACAATATGTGAGTGAGTGAGTGAGTGAGTGAGTATGGTTTAATGCCGCTTTCATAGATATTCCAGCAACATGATAGCCAGGACACTAGATAGGGACTTCACACATTGTACTTATATGAGGAATCGAACACAGACAACCGGTGTGCCAAGCCAACAACACATTGGCGTAACTTTGCTACCCAACCATCTCTGGAGTGAGTGAGTGAGTACGGTTTTACGCCGCTTTTAGCAATATTCCAGCAATATCACGGCGGGGGACACCAGAAATGGGCTTCACACATTGTACCCATGTCGGGAATCGAACCCGGGTCTTCGGCGTGACGAGCAAACGCTTTAACCACTAGGCTACCCGACCGCCCCAACCATCTCTGGAACAATATGTTATTAACCACACAGTACCCTGATCCTGAAGTTTGTTTGTTGTTTAACGCTGCACTCCAGCACTCCAGCAATATTCCAGCTGTATGACGGCGGTCTGTAATTAATCAAGTCTGGACCAGACAATCCAGTGATTAATATCATGAGCATAGATCCACGCATTTGGGATCGATGACATGCATCAACCAAGTCAGCGAGCTTGACCACCCGATCCCGTTAGTCGCCTTTAACGACAAGCATAGTCACCTTTTACGGCAAGCATGGGTTGCTGAAGACCTATTCTACGCCGGATTTGTTTGTTGTTTAATGCTGCACTCGGCATTATTCCACCCATATGATGGTGTCTGTAAATAATCAAGTCTGAACCAGACAATCCATCGACATCATGAGCAACGATCCATGCAATTGGAATACGATGACATGCATCAACAAAGTCATCGAGCCTGACCACTGGATTCCGTAAGTCGCCCCTTACGACAAGCATGGTCGCCTGTTACAGCAAGGATGGGTTGCTGAACACCTATTCTACCTGGATCTTCACAGGTCTTACGGAATACTCAGAGAATGTAAAGTGGGTGTTGATTGATGGAAGCAGACCAACCTTCGGTATGCTTGAGCTTGCCGCCTGCGGCCCTTTGAGACATACAGCTATCTGACAGTGCAGGTAGGTGTGCTGGTTGTTGAGGAAATAGTCGCGCACCTGGAAACTGAACCGGTACACAGACAACGAGCCGTAGGGCACGCTGTTGGGGATGTTGTGCCACATGACGGAGGCTTCCTGGGGACACCTGGAGAGGAGACAAATACGTTAGGAGTTGCTACATGATCTGGACATTTTGTACCATGGCAACACCTGGAGAGGAGACAAAAGTCAGGAGTGGCTACATGATCTGGACATTTTGCATGTATCAGGGCGAGCGAGCGAGTGAGTGAGTGAGTGAGTGAGTGAGTGAAACCACCTGTGATGCAGGTGGTGTGTTCAGTAGGGATGTGACCATACGACCATCTTTCTGTATGATACGCATCACAATTAAAAGGGCACTAACATTTCAATCAATAACTTATTTCAAATTAAAATTGATTGGCAACCAAAGTATTTTCTATTACTCAAGACAATAGCAAGATCCCTGTTCGCAAAATATCTAACATGTACACCCAAAATTAAACAATTAAATATGAATCAATAGGTCCATGTGTGAAACAATACAGGATTAAGATATGAATCGATAGAGGTAAGTGTGTACCGTGTGTTGGATTGTTTGAGAATATTATCGATGCATCGATGTATTGGTGAATCGTGACATCTCTAGCGTTGTGTGTACTGTGTATCGGATCGCTTGAGGATATTATCGATGCATCGATGTGTTGGTGAATCGTGACATCTCTAGCGTTGTGTGTACTGTGTATCGGATCGCTTGAGGATATTATTGATGCATCGATGTGTTGGTGAATCGTGACGTCTCTAGCGTTGTGTGTACTGTGTATCGGATCGCTTGAGGATATTATCGATGCATCGATGTGTTGGTGAATCGTGACGTCTCTCGCGTTGTGTGTACTGTGTATCGGATCGCTTGAGGATATTATCGATGCATCGATGTGTTGGTGAATCGTGACATCTCTAGCGTTGTGTGTACCGTGTATCGGATCCTTTGAGGATATTGTCGATGCATCGATGTGTTGGTGAATCGTGACGTCTCTAGCGCTGTGTGTACTGTGTATCAGATCGCTTGAGAATATTATCGATGCATCGATGTGTTGGTGAATCGTGACGTCTCTAGCGTTGTGTGTACTGTGTATCGGATCGCTTGAGGATATTATCGTTGCATCGATGTGTTGGTGAATCGTGACGTCTCTAGCGTTGTGTGTACTGTGTATATTATCGATGCATCGATGTGTTGGTGAATCGTGACGTCTCTAGCGTTGTGTGTACCGCGTATCGATGAGTTGGTGAATCGTGACGTCTCTAGCGTTGTGTGTACTGTGTATCGGATCGCTTGAGGATATTATCGATGCATCGATGTGTTGGCGAATCGTGACGTCTCTAGCGTTGTGTGTACTGTGTACATTATCGATGCATCGATGTGTTGGTGAATCGTGACGTCTCTAGCGTTGTGTGTACCGTGTATCGATGAGTTGGTGAATCGTGACGTCTCTAGCGTTGTGTGTACCGTGTATCGGATCGCTTGAGGATATTATCGATGCATCGATGTGTTGGCGAATCGTGACGTCTCTAGCGTTGTGTGTACTGTGTATATTATCGATGCATCGATGTGTTGGTGAATCGTGACGTCTCTAGAGTTGTGTGTACTGTGTATCGGATCGCTTGAGGATATAATCGATGCATCGATGTGTTGGTGAATCGTGACGTCTCTAGCGTTGTGTGTACTGTGTACATTATCGATGCATCGATGTGTTGATGAATCGTGACGTCTCTAGCGTTGTGTGTACCGTGTATCGATGAGTTGGTGAATCGTGACGTCTCTAGCGTTGTGTGTACCGTGTATCGGATCGCTTGAGGATATTATCGATGCATCGATGTGTTGGCGAATCGTGACGTCTCTAGCGTTGTGTGTACTGTGTATATTATCGATGCATCGATGTGTTGGTGAATCGTGACGTCTCTAGAGTTGTGTGTACTGTGTATCGGATCGCTTGAGGATATAATCGATGCATCGATGTGTTGGTGAATCGTGACGTCTCTAGCGTTGTGTGTACCGTGTATCGGATCGCTTGAGGATATTATCGATGCATCGATGTGTTGGTGAATCGTGACGTCTCTAGCGTTGTGTGTACTGTGTATATTATCGATGCATCGATGTGTTGGTGAATCGTGACGTCTCTAGCGTTGTGTGTACCGCGTATCGATGAGTTGGTGAATCGTGACGTCTCTAGCGTTGTGTGTACTGTGTATCGGATCGCTTGAGGATATTATTGATGCATCGATGTGTTGGCGAATCGTGACGTCTCTAGCGTTGTGTGTACTGTGTACATTATCGATGCATCGATGTGTTGGTGAATCGTGACGTCTCTAGCGTTGTGTGTACCGTGTATCGATGAGTTGGTGAATCGTGACGTCTCTAGCGTTGTGTGTACCGTGTATCGGATCGCTTGAGGATATTATCGATGCATCGATGTGTTGGCGAATCGTGACGTCTCTAGCGTTGTGTGTACTGTGTATATTATCGATGCATCGATGTGTTGGTGAATCGTGACGTCTCTAGCGTTGTGTGTACCGTGTATCGGATCGCTTGAGGATATTATCGATGCATCGATGTGTTGGTGAATCGTGACGTCTCTAGCGTTGTGTGTACTGTGTATCGGATCGCTTGAGGATATTATCGATGCATCGATGTGTTGGTGAATCGTGACGTCTCTCGCGTTGTGTGTACCGTGTATCGGATCGCTTGAGGATGTTATCGATGCATCGATGTGTTGGTGAATCGTGACGTCTCTAGCGTTGTGTGTACCGTGTACCGGATCGCTTGAGGATATTATCAATGCATCGATGTGTTGGTGAATCGTGACGTCTCTAGCGTTGTGTGTACTGTGTATATTATGCTTGAGGATATTATCGATGCATCGATGTGTTGGTGAATCGTGACGTCTCTAGCGTTGTGTGTACCGTGTATATTATCGATGCATCGATGTGTTGGTGAATCGTGACGTCTCTAGCGTTGTGTGTACTGTGTATCGGTTCGCTTGAGGATATTATCGATGTGTTGGTGAATGGTGACGTCTCTAGCGTTGTGTGTACCGTGTATCGGATCGCTTGAGGATATTATCGATACATCGATGTGTTGGTGAATCGTGACATCTCTAGCGTTGTGTGTACCGTGTATATTATCGATGCATCGATGTGTTGGTGAATCGTGACGTCTCTAGCGTTGTGTGTACTGTGTATCGGATCGCTTGAGGATATTATCGTTGCATCGATGTGTTGGTGAATCGTGACGTCTCTAGCGTTGTGTGTACCGTGTATCGGATCGCTTGAGGATATTATCGATGCATCGATGTGTTGGTAAATCGTGACGTCTCTAGCGTTGTGTGTACAGTGTATATTATGGATGCATCGATGTGTTGGTGAATCGTGACATCTCTAGCGTTGTGTGTACCGTGTATATTATCGATGCATCGATGTGTTGGTGAATCGTGACGTCTCTAGCGTTGTGTGTACTGTGTATCGGATCGCTTGAGGATATTATCGATGCATCGATGTGTTGGTGAATCGTGACGTCTCTAGCGTTGTGTGTACTGTGTATCGGATCGCTTGAGGATATTATCGATGCATCGATGTGTTGGTGAATCGTGACGTCTCTAGCGTTGTGTGTACCGTGTATCGGATCGCTTGAGGATATTATCGATGCATCGATGTGTTGGTGAATCGTGACGTCTCTAGCGTTGTGTGTACTGTGTATATTATGGATGCATCGATGTGTTGGTGAATCGTGACATCTCAAGCGTTGTGTGTACCGTGTATATTATCGATGCATCGATGTGTTGCTGAATCGTGACGTCTCTAGCGTTGTGTGTACTGTGTATCGGATCGCTTGAGGATATTATCGATGCATCGATGTGTTGGTGAATCGTGACGTCTCTAGCGTTGTGTGTACTGTGTATCGGTTCGCTTGAGGATATTATCGATGTGTTGGTGAATGGTGACGTCTCTAGCGTTGTGTGTACCGTGTATCGGATCGCTTGAGGATATTATCGATGCATCGATGTGTTGGTGAATCGTGACGTCTCTAGCGTTGTGTGTACTGTGTATCGGATCGCTTGAGGATATTATCGATGCATCGATGTGTTGGTGAATCGTGACGTCTCTAGCGTTGTGTGTACCGTGTATCAATGTGTTGGTGAATCGTGACGTCTCTAGCGTTGCGTGTACTGTGTATCGATGTGTTGGTGAATCGTGACGTCTCTAGCGTTGTGTGTACCGTGTATATTATCGGTGAATCGTGACGTCTCTAGCGTTGCCTGTACTCACCCGTTGCGTATGATGGCGATCCGTGAGGCATCCTTGTCCCTGAAAGTAGACGCAGGCGTAACCCAGCAGTTGAGGACGCTGACGTCAAGGTGAGAGACTGCAAACATATAACAAATGAGTGAATGAGTGAGTGGATATGGTTTTGTTTCAGTTATCAACATGACCCGTGAAGATCCGGGTTAGAATAGGTCTTCAGCAACCCATGCTTGCAGTAAAAGGGGACTATGCTTGTTGTAAGAGGCAACTAACAGGATCAGGTGGTCAGGCTCGCTGACTTGGTTGTTGCATGACATCGTATCCCAATGGGGTGGATCGATACTCATGCGGTCAATCACTGGATTGTCTGGTCCAGACTTGATTATTTACAGACCGCCGTCATATAGCTGGAATATTGCGGAGTGCGGCGTAAAAAACAAAACAAAAAAACTAAGCCTGCCAAATGGCCCATGGCAGGTAACACCCGACTGCCTGGCTGATAATTTTAAGACTACTTACGTGTTCAGTTTTAACATAACTACTTGTAGATTCTTAAGTAATTGTTTGCATTATGTAAAGACTTGATTTGTCTCTTAGTTTTTGTGATTTTTCAATAATAATATTGCCTGAGTGTAAGCAGGTAATTTTGAGTGAGTGAGTGAGTGAGTGAGTGAGTGAGTGAGTGAGTGAGTGAGTGAGTGAGTACAGATCAAAACGTATCTTTTGTGAATAGTCATATAGACACGAAGTACTGATGTGAGTGAGTGAGTGAGTGTGTTTGGGTTTACGCCGCTTTTAGCAATATTCCAGAAATATCACAGCGGGGGACACCAGAAAACGGCTTCACACATTGTAACCATGTTGAGAACTCGGGTCTCGTGTGTAGGTAATTGTGAAGATGAGCAGGCAACACTTTGGGTCACCTGCCCGACTGTCTTGTTGGCTTTTTGAATTGTTACAAAACTGTAACAGTAACTTACTGGCAGTGATTGAAGCCTGGACATACAGCCGGCTTCTCCTCGGCATGGACATGCGCGTGTTGTGTTCCGACTGCAGGAAGAGGTCGTTGCGGTACAGCTGCAGCTGGTAGTCCAGTCCTCCCTGAGGTGGAGCAGAAGGGGGCTGCATTAACGGAATGGAAGTGAAACATGGATGAGATGAAATGTGGACATGAAACATGGATGAGATGAAATGTGGACATGAAACGTGGATGAGATGAAACATGGAGATGACATGTGGATGAGATAAAACTAGGAACAGTTGGTCATTGAAGTGATTGGGAACAGTTGGTCATTGAAGTGATTGGGAACAGTTGGTCATTGAAGTGATTGGGAACAGTTGGTCATTGAAGTGATTGGGAACAGTTGGTCATTGGAGTGATTGGGAACAGTTGGTCATTGAAGTGATTGGGAACAGTTGATTATTGAAGTGATTGGGAACAGTTGGTCAATGAAGTGATTGGGAACAGTTGGTCATTGAAGTGATTGGGAACAGTTGGTCATTGGAGTTTTTGGGAACAGTTGGTCGTTGAAGTGATTGGGAACAGTTGGTCATTGGAGTTTTTGGGAACAGTTGGTCATTGGAGAGATATGGAACAGTTGGTCACTGAAGTGATTGGGAACAGGTGGTCACTGAAGTGATTGGGAACAGTTGGTCATTGAAGTGATTGGGAACAGTTAGTTATTGGAGAAATGGGGAAGAGTTGGTCATTGAAGTGATTGGGAACAGTTGGTCATTGAAGTGATTGGGAACAGTTAGTTATTGGAGAAATGGGGAACAGTTGGTCAATGAAGTGATTGGGAACAGTTGGTCATTGAAGTGATTGGGAACAGTTAGTTATTGGAGAAATGGGGAGCAGTTGGTCATTGAAGTGATTGGGAACAGTTGGTCATTGAAGTGATTGGGAACAGTTAGTTATTGGAGAAATGGGGAAGAGTTGGTCATTGAAGTGATTGGGAACAGTTAATTATTGGAGAAATGGGGAAGAGTTGGTCATTGAAGTGATTGGGAACAGTTGGTCATTGAAGTGATTGGCAACAGTTAATTATTGGAGAAATGGGGAACAGTTGGTCATTGAAGTGATTGGGAACAGTTGGTCAATGAAGTGATTGGGAACAGTTAATTATTGGAGAAATGGGGAACAGTTGGTCATTGAAGTGATTGGGAACAGTTGGTCATTGAAGTGATTGGGAACAGTTGGTCAATGAAGTGATTGGGAACAGTTAATTATTGGAGAAATGGGGAACAGTTGGTCATTGGAGACATGGGGCAGCATGACTAGAAAGTGAATAAATCATAAGGGTAAGTGGTGACAAGTGGTGACTCAAAGTTTGTACCCACATGACAAGAACAAAGCATGGCTTACCTCTGTAGTGAGGGGAACCTGACACTTCACATCGATCTCCATGCTGTGTGAATGGAAGTCCTCATCATCCACATAAGTTGCCTCAGTCAGGTCATGTGATCCCGACCCCGACATCTCGGAGTTGTCGAGCACGGCGCTGCCAAGTTCCTCCTCCATCAGAGGATCTGTCACCTCAGAGGAGTGGATCACAATCTACAACAAAAATTTCATTTATTAATGCTACTACTGTATATCTCATAAAAAGCACAACTTTTACTCCTATTTGACACCCGTAACTTTTACTCCTATTTGACACCCCTAACTTTTACTCCCATTTGACATCCCTAACTCTTACTCCTATTTGACTCCCCTAACTATTACTCCCAATTTACACCCATAACTCTTACTCCCATTAGACACCCCTAACTCTTACTGCTATTTGACTCCCCAAACTATTACTCCCAATTTACACCCATAACTTTTACTCCCATTAGACACCCCTAACTATTACTCCTATTTGACACCCCTAACTATTTCTCCCATTTGACACCTCACTATTTCTCCTATTTGAAACCCCTAACTATTTCTCCTATTTGAAACCGCTCACTATTTCTCCTATTTGACACCCCTATCTATTTCTCCTATTTGACACCCCTAACTAATACTCCTATTTGACACCCCTAACTTTTACTCCCATTTGACACCCCTAACTATTACTCCTATTTGACACCCCTAACTTTTACTCCCATTTGACACCTCTAACCATGGAGATCGGACAAACCCTCAACAGATGACATCATGTGGACCTTGTGGACTGCCAAGCCCAATCAAACTGAAGGATGCATCGCTTCTGAAGGAAATAGCAATGTCAGTTTTATAAAACTTGGCTTATTGGTCTATAAGTTTGATTGTTTGAGTGGCCAGGGACAAGGGAGATTGATGCTGGGGGATTGATGCTGACAAACTATTTTGGCAAAGCTCCCTCTACTCCTTGTTGAGATCATGGCTGATTAGTAAGGCTCACCGCATTGGAAAAGACATTTTCATCATCAACTTGAAGATACTTGGTGTTGCATTTGTTCAGAGCAGTCTTCAGTATGACATGGGTTGAGTTCTCCACCGCTCCGCATAACGGGTTGAGCAGAGTTATCTGCTCCTTGACCAAACCATTCTCCTGAAATGAAAAACATACATGATTTACTCTGTAAGAAATGTAGCAATGTCACATCTACTCACAACCACACAATGTGTACAGGGTGTTCAAATACCAAACTTTCCTACTTGACCAAGTAAAAGCAAAAAATCTACATGCCCTGTCTGATTTTCCACTGGCCCTACTAAATCAGAGAAAGGAAGAAAACTTTAATTTTACCAACATGGCTTCATTAAGTGAAGCAACAGGTAATGGAATATGTGCAGAAGACACAATGTGTGCTAACAGACACACAATGTTACCTGAAGCAGATTGTTGGGGATGGAGATTTCCATGCGGCCATCTTTGCACTGTGTGTGTATTGCACGCTTCAAGTGGTCGGGGGAGTCCCCCCCATCCGATCCTGGACCAATCCCCCCTTCACTCCGGCCAGGTGGGTTATCGTGCAGGGACCATCGATGCTGGTCAGGCACTCGCTTGGCTGAAAATAGTCACAACATCATATTGTTAGCTGGTTCAATGTCGAAATTACAGAGTCAGTCTATCAGAAGACAAAGAGTCCTGCTGCACGCTCTAATGCCTACACATTGCTGTAAAAAGTTACATTTAAGAATAGTCTTATACTTTGTTTGGGGACAGACTATTTGATATTCTGGTGGGGAGCTTGGGATTTTATCCCAGAAACAAATTGTCCCCGAAAAGTATTGACAAAAATAATTATGCTTCAGGCTGTTGAAAAAAAGAAAGAAAACGTTTGCCACAAACGTAACATTGTTGTTGTAAGTTGTGTTTTTTCTAAAAGATTATTCAGGCTCACAGTGTTAATAAAAAAATATATGTGATTTTGCAGATGTTGTTAAAAAATATCTAATTTCCACATAAAAATCCCAGGCCCTCCCCCCTAGGCCCTAAACAAAGTCTAGGGCCATGCTGGGATTTACATCAAGTAGTCTCCAAATGTAAACTGACCCAAATGCAGTTGAACCTAGTGATCAGTTGTACCCGAATTCAGGACGTAATGAACCACACAAAATGTCCAACACGAGACTTGGTTGTATAGACTTGTAATGTCTGACTCAAGGTTTGGTAGTATAGACTCGTAATGTCTGACTCAAGATTTGGTTGTATCGACTTGTAATGTCCGACTCAAGATTTGGAAGTATAGACTCGTAATGTCAGACTCAAGATTTGGTTGTATAGACTCGTAATGTCTGACTCAAGATTTGGTTGTATCGACTCGTAATGTCCGACTCAAGATTTGGTTGTATCGACTCGTAATGTCCGACTCAAGATTTGGAAGTATAGACTCGTAATGTCCGAATCAAGATTTGGTTGTATCGACTCGTAACGTCCGACTCAAGATTTGGTTGTATCGACTCGTAATGAACTACGCAGACTGTCTGACAGGGGCTACTTACAGTTGGGCGAGATGAGTAGCCGGATCCGATTGGCTTGTCTTATCTGTGTGTAGGCCTCTACTGGAGCCAGGTAGTAATCTGCCCACGCAATCAGTTCCAGGCCGGTCGCGTTCATCACCTCCCGACGGAGCGCCACGGTGTGCATCCGGATTCCCTTCAAGTCCACATCTGCGTCCGTCTGTTGCCGAAACAATGCACTTCCTTACCGTACAAATGTACATACAAATAAACAGGTTGTCGACATGTACCACTTAGGTAAACCCACAAGCATGAGTCAATGATGAGTTTAGTGATTGGGTGAGTGCAGCAGTAGAAATTGGCACTAGTCCTGTAGTCCTTGTCAAACTGCCCAATAGTTAAGGTATCATAAGGACAAGCAGAAATTTGCCATTTTTAAGGGTTTTGCTATATGTTATCATTTTAAGGATTAGTGGACTAAAAATGTTATGCCGCTTTAGCAATATTTCAGCAATATCACGACGGGGGACACCAGAAATTGGATTTAACCAGTGTACCCGTGTCGGGAATCGAACCTGGCTCTTGCTTGTGACAAGACAAATGGTTTAACCACTAGGCTACCTGACAGCCCCTAATGGTGAGTTTTAGTCAAGTCATACACATACCACAATTTCAATCCATCCCTGTACTTTCCGACTGCGGACGGCCCACTTGAGTGAGGAGGGGGACTTGAGGATGAGGTAGAAGTCCTTGTTGATTGGTTCGTTGTTCACCGATGTCACCTCCAGCTCCATGCGAGTGTCTCGTTTCAGGAAGGAATCTGGCGGCTCATTCAGCAGTTCAATGATATAGACAGGCCTGCAGCAAATAGGAGCAGAGTGAGCGAGTGAGTGAGTGAGTGAGTGAGTGGGAGGGTGGATCACGGGGTTGGTGCATAGATCAGTCTGCAGCAAACAGGAGCAGAGTGAGTGAGTGAGTGAGTGGGTGGGTGGATCACGGGGTGGGTGCATAGATCAGCCTGCAGCAAGCAGGAGCAGAGTGAGTGAGTGAGTGAGTGAGTGAGTGAGTGAGTGAGTGAGTGGGAGGGTGGGTGGGTGGATCACGGGGTTGGTGCATAGATCAGCCTGCAGCAAACAGGAGCAGAGTGAGTGAGTGAGTGAGTGAGTGAGTGAGTGGATGGGTGGATCACGGGGTGGGTGCATAGATCAGCCTGCAGCAAGCAGGAGCAGAGTGAGTGAGTGAGTGAGTGAGTGAGTGAGTGAGTGAGTGGGTGGGTGGATCACGGGGTGGGTGCATAGATCAGCCTGCAGCAAACAGGAGCAGAGTGAGCGAGTGGATTGGTGGGTGGATGGGTGAGTGAGAGAGTAGGGCTGCTACAGCAAACATCAGAGTGAGTGAGTGAGTGAGTGAGTGAGTGGGTGGGGGGGTGGAGGGGGTGGGTGGATCACGGGGTGGGTGCATAGATCAGCCTGCAGCAAGCAGGAGCAGAGTGAGCGAGTGGATTGGTGGGTGGGTGGGTGGGTGGGTGGGTGGGTGAGTGAGTGAGTGAGTGAGTGAGTGAGTGAGTGAGTGAGTGAGTGAGTGAGTGAGTGAGTGAGTGAGTGAGTGAGTGAGTGAGTGAGTGAGTGAGTGAGTGAGTGAGTGAGTGAGCGAGCGGATTGGTGGATGGGTGAGTGAGAGAGTAGGGCTGCTACAGCAAACATCAGAGTGAGTGAGTGAGTGAGTGAGTGAGTGGGTGGGGGGGGTGGGGAGGTGGAGGGGGTAGGTGGATCACGGGGTGGGTGCATAGATCAACCTGCAGCAAGCAGGAGCAGAGTGAGTGAGTGGATTGGTGGGTGGGTGAGTGAGTGAGTGAGTGAGTGAGTGAGTGAGTGAGTGAGTGAGTGAGTGGATTGGTGGGTGGGTGGGTGAGTGAGTAGTGCTGCTACAGCAAACATCAGAGTGAGTGAATCGATGGGAGTGTGAGTCAGTGATGAGTACACTATAAACGCATAACTCATTCAGCAGTTCAACGATACAGATCAGGCTACAGAAAACAGGTTTTTACACCGAAGTCCATGATATCACAATGGTAAATAATCTGTGGTAGTATAATTTGATAGGCATTATTTGGAAGTTGCTGGATGACAAAGTCGACGCAATTAATGGATAACAACTTCTTTAATTACTGTGAAGGCGACGTGTTGGTATAGATCCTAATACCATTGTCAAGCAAGACTGAATAATGAACATGGTACAGAATATATATACAGTAAACTACGGTTATAATGAACTCAAAGGGACCACTAATTTTAGTTCGTTATAACCGTAGTTCGTTATAAGCATATATACAGCATAACTACAGCAAATAGACGGGACCAAAAAGTAAGTTCGTCATATCCGTCAGTTCGTTATAAGCGTGTTCGTTTTAACCGTACTCTACTGTAGTAGGTGGAGTATAAACAGTAGAGGATTATACAGCAACAATTACATGCTACTGTGGCAGTAGCCAGGACAGAACGTTGTTACCTTGCCATCAGTATCTTCTTGACCTCTGACACACATCCCGCGGTGGGCTGGGCCTGTATGTGTGACGTCACGGCGTGAGGACTGTCTCCCAGCTCCGTGATATTGCACTCATCGCCTGAACCAGCAACTGTCAACACCAAAACAGCTACAAATGTACTCAAGCTCACCAGCATTTGTGGTCTTGTTTCACAGAACGCACACACAAACATTTGAAGAACATATGTCAGACTTTCCTGAATGGCATCTTCCATTATAGAAATCTACAAGTCTCAAGTCATGCAAAGTCTGACAAGATGGCATGTATGTACATGAGATCTCATCACCCCATGATGATGATGGATGAGTATGGTTTTACGCCGCTTTTAGCAATATTGCAGCAATATCACAGCGGGGGACACCAGAAATGGGCTTCACACATTGTACCCATGTCAGGAATCGAACCGGGTCTTCGGCGTGATGAGCGAACGCTTTAACCACTAGGCTACCCGACCACCCCCATCACCCCATGAGGCCATACTCATGATAGTGATGATAGTTTTTTTCACCTTTCTTTGCCCTTCACTCTTTGACCTTTACTATCTTAGGATCTGGCACTCTTTAGTACAATGGATCTGAGTCCTACCATAGAGTTCTGCCATGGAGAACCTACCTACCGAGGATGTGGGTCAAAATCTGTTCAGATCAGTTCAGTGACCCCCCAAGACCTCTCGACCTTAAGCTTTCAAGTACAACTTTCCCCTAGTTCTCAGTACCTTTGAAAAAACCAAAACAATGACTGCTCCCTGACTCAGTATTACCTAGTCCCACTCTAAACAGTAGACTGGTCCCCTCCAACTCGCTATATGACGTCACAGCCTTGTAGCGGAGTGTAGTCCATGACACCAGCTCCTGGCGATTTGAGGTGGCAGGCATTTTTAATTTGCGGTCTCTGACCCGTCTCCCGAGTTTGCTCTTCTTGATGCGTATTGAAGAATGCTCCGGCACCTGTAACAACAATATAACAACTGAAGAATGATTCCACATGGAGCGGAGTATCGCCTGGTATCTTGCGATGTGATACGCCTCACGATACGAACTGACGATATCACAACAAATAATAAGAAATGATGAAATCACTAAAATGCAACTCTCAAACCTCTTGCTTCATACAATTATTATTATCTCAAAAACAACAAGAGTGCTCTGAGAGCACAACATCCCCTGCATGAAATTTTTTAACGAGTCAAATGAAGCTCCGTAAAACAGGGGCAGTAACTATGTCAAAATTTGTCGAAATGAAACGGGACTGCAATATGCATATAATCAACATGTCGACATCTTGTGTGTAGAGTGTCAGGGATATTCTCTGGAAACTGGAGGAGGAGTAGATTTCATGAAGCTCCGTAAAACAGGGGCAGTAACTCTGTCAAAATTAGTTAAAATGAAATGGGACTGCGATATGCGTATCATCAACATGTCGACATCTTGTGTGTAGTGTCAGGGATATTCTCTGGAAACTGGAGGAGGAGTTGATTTCACAAGGTTAGTACCCTCTGTGGGACGGACAGACGTACGGACAGACAGATGTACGGACAGACAGACGGACGGACGGACGGACGGACTGTGCCACGACATAATCCCCCTTCGCCCATTCTGGCCCGGCGGGGGATAACTTCCAAACGAAAAAAAACTGAACCAATTAACTGATGAAGATTTAAAAAATAATCATGCAGGAACTAAGAGGAGAATGAATGAGTTTGGTTTTATGCCGCCTTTAGCAATATTCCAGCAATATCACGGGGGGTGGGGGGGACACCAGTAATGGGCTTCACTCATTGTACCTATGTCGGGAATCGAACCTTGGTCTTCGGCGTGATGAGCGAACGCTTTAACCACTAGGCTTCCCGACCGCCCAACTTATAAGGAGGAGAAACAATATCATTGACAGAATACTAGACAAAGGAAAGAAATGTTGGATAACTGATCTTGATTTCTTGATTTGTAACACCACATTGAACTGTATTTCAGTTAGAAAACGGCATGTCAGCTTGCTGTGACCTGGTACATTACTCTACAGTAACCTAACATATCCAGGTTAGCCAAAAAATGATATCACTTTGTTTTACGACAAGCATAGTTGCCCCTTGAGGCAAGCATGGGTTGCTGAAGGCCAATCCTCTACCCGGATCTTCACGGGGAAGTAATATCTCCAACACAGCCCATGTTAAACTCTATTTGCCTTAAGGACAATGAGGACACCAGCCCAGCTGATAGAGGAAATATTGTGAAGGAGAAGGGCCCAAAGAACATACATGCATCAAACAAGCCCAGCATAAACAGATATGTACCACCCAGTGAGACAAATTAGCTCCTAGTTACCGGCAACTGTTTCAGATTTTCATTTTAGACCTTTTGATCCCAGCATCCATGTAATCCTTTATTTACCATCGGGTCTGAAATACACGTTCAAGTGGCCGAGGGTATCGCCACCATGTTACTCACAGGCCTCCAGGCCTGCAGGGCCAACAGAGACATTAAATAAATCTCAACTGGCAACACTCATTGGATCCATTGCGAGGGTAGCTGCTGGGATTCCCATCAACCTGCAGGGTTTTCAATGTGATTGTTGTAACACATGCCACTTTGGCTGCTTTGCAGGAATGGAAAACATTTGATTTGGCCACAGGCGTTTCATATTCACACTGTAGTTTACTTCCTTATTGCTAATGTTAACGTTTCCTAATACAGAGTTTCAATTTGAGTGAGCAACATTCCATCAATATCCTCGCTGAGGCTTCACCCATTGTACCCGTGGGGAATCGAACCCGAATCTTCGGCGTGACAAGCAAATGTTTTAACCACTTGGCTACCCCACTGCACCGAGTTCAATGTGAAGCCCTTTTTCCAGCAAAATCGTCCAGGTTAAGTGTTTTAATTTGAGGTTTGTTTGTTTGTTTGTTGTTTAACGCCCCACTCATCAATATTCCAGCTATATGACAGCAGTCTGTAAATAATCGAGTCTGAACCAGACAATCCACGAAATTGGGATACGATGAACTGCATCAATCAAGTCAGCGAGCCTGACCACCAGATCCCGTTAGTCGCCTCTTATGACAAGCAGTCGCCTTATACAGCAAGCATGGGTTGCTGAAGACCTATTCTACCCTGGATCTTCACAGGGAGACAAGCATAGGTTGCTGAAGACCTATTCTACCCCTGATCTTCACAGGGAGACAAGCATGGGTTGCTGAAGACCTATTCTACCCCGGATCTACACGGGGAGACAAGCATGGGTTGCTGAAGACCTATTCTACCCCGGATCTTCACAGCATGGGTTGCTGAAGACCTATTCTACCCCGGATCTTCACAGGGAGGAAACTAGGTTTCACTGGACTACAGATGGCAACATGAGCTATCTTGGTTCACATAAGTTGACGAAACACTGGATTGTTTTGTTTGTTTATATGATGGTGACCTGTCTGGACCAGACAATCCAGTGATCCAAATTGTGAGCAAAAATCCTCGCTATCAAAGGTACAGGGTCATGCAATTAATCAAGTTGAATTATTCCAAGGAAATTATACCATCATAATTATGAATAGAGTTTCGGAAAATTATATTTCAGAATATAGGCATCAAAGGCAATTATACATAGGAGCTCCAGTCTCAGAATCATAGGCCATTAAACAGAAACTCTTGATAGTCTCAGAATCACAGGAGCCAGGGATACTGGACAGCTTTCATTAATGAAGGATAATCATTAATATACAATGAAAGAACATACTCCCTTTTTCTTAACTGAGACCTAACCCACCGCAGTTTCATCAATCAGTTGGAAGTACTTGCTTTCCACGACAGTTTCAACCCATCCCATCCTCCCACTCGAGGTAAAACACGTCCAGAAGCAATCTGCTGAATCCTCAATCAGTGGATTCCGTCTCCTCTGGGTGGAACCTTCCCCATCTAGCCACATTCATAATGAAGTGTATCCAAGGTGAAATAGTCTTCCAGGCAAGAAAAAACAAGATGGAGGCCGTTCTTTGTCTTATCGGAAGATCAGTGGAGGAAGGAGATCTTTAGCTTTGAAGAACAGCTTTATCACAGAAATCAAAGACCAGCACACACGGGGAAGTTGAAAGCTTTTGACGACAAATGTGTTTTGAGCAGCACATCGTGTGGGGCCATGTCTAGAGGCCGGGGTTCAAACACAGAACTGCCGACACTCAACACTTCCAACACCAGGAGCCCTGGAATCCCGAGTCTGGAGAGAGGCTGTTGGGCATTACTCGTTACCATCAAAATATTCCCTTTCATCCCATTCCCTCATCACAAACAGAATAGGATAATGCACATTTCCACCTCAACACAATGAGGCGCTAGGTTTTCAATTGTTAAAAAAGGTTACAGGACAATAATCCTTGACATCAAGATAAAAACACAACAACAATTATCGGGAAATCACATAACAGTGGAGTGAGCGAGTATGGTTTTACACGGCTTTTAGCAATATTCCAGCAATATTCCAGCAATAGGACAGCACGGGAATGTGGTGAATTGAACCTGGGTCTTCAGCGTGATGAGCCAACGCTTAAACCACTAGGCTACCCCACCGCCCTAAATCACATAACAATCACATACAGAGGAATCTGTCTACTCTGGATAGCTGTCAATACCCGATCAAATTTATGGTTCAGAATTTTCTACAGTACATTAATTAAACATTAAATAAAGTCTGTATAAACCAGACTTATATCCCAGTCCCACGTAAGTCCAGTTTAGACTGATTCCTCTTTATTACATTCTCAACCATAAACTATCCATTTTGAGAGATCTAAAATTATGTTTGTTTGTTTGTTGTTTAACGCCACTCTCAGCAATATTCCAGCTTTATGACAGTGGTCTGTAAATAATCGAGTCTGGACAACACAATCCAGTGATTGACATCATGGGCATCGATCCATGCAATTGGGATCGATGACATGCATCAACCAAGTAAGCGAGCCTGACCACCTGATCCCATAAGTCGCCTCATAGGACAAGCGAAATCGCTGAAATTATGACCCTGCTTATTCCATTACATGAAATTGATCTGGTATTATTTCACAAGATGGCGCAGTTCATACTTCAGTAAATCATGAATCAGGTGTCATACTGGACCTCCATCGTGTGGACAGTCAGTAACAGAACACTACAGGACACTTCAACAAGGGACAGAACTCTTGGGGCTTTCAGCCTCCCTTGGAGAAAGCAGTGCGGCTGTAGAAATGTCAAGTCTGCCTCTATCTGAACATGCCCAGCTGCCGGACCTAAGGTAGATATATTTATACACGTCCCTGCATATCAAATCGAAGACAGGTTCACAGCACAATACAGCAACATCAACAAGCCTGTACAAGCTATCGCCATCATCGGCTTCTAACCCAGCAACACTCGGCACAAAGCAGCTAATCTAAAACATCAGGCCAACTCAAGCTAATACTCCTGCCATTTCGCCTCCGATATTTAGGACTGTGGAAGAAAAAGTGTGCGGCACATTGATGATATGAAGCGTGTTTTGCGAGTACCACTTGTTGCCTGCTTCCCAGGGTGCACCTGGGCCCCTTGTGTGCGGATCTAGCACAGCCACTCACAACAGGCCCCGTCCGCTTTGATCCCCATCAACCTTACAAACTGGCCATGTGGCGCCCAGTTGCATACAACTTCCCAAGCAGCTTTAAATGTCACTTCCTTCCCTAAGATGAATGAACTGCTGCCTCAGTTTCTATGTCCGCAGATAATCATAGGATGGGATCCTGTTGCTGTGAAGACTATTCAACAGCTAGAGTGAGTGAGTGAGTTGGGTTTGACGCCATTTTTAACGGTAATTTCATGGTAGGTCAGTTTAATGTGGGAGGATGGCCCAAAGTAATGCAGGTCTCAGACATATACCACTTTGGAGAAAACGACGGGTATGGGTGAGGTGGGGTGAGGTGAGGTGGGGTGAGGTGAGGTGAGGTGAGGTGAGG